TGACGTTGCTCCTGGCAACATGCACATTTTCCAAACTTCTGTCGCTCCAAGCTTAACTCAGTGGGAAGCGTAGTAAGATGAGCTGAACAGTAAGAAGTGGAAAAATCCTATCAAGAAGCACTCGATCAGTTATCAAACGAAACTGAAAATATTCTATTCCTCGCTCTTCTCGTTGCAATATATTCCTCCCCGTCTTTTCATGCAGCCGCGCTATCAATAACCCACGCCCCTCGGGACTGTCTGAAGTTAGGCAAAGGTTATTAAGTGAGGAAAACCGCATGCACTAACCGATCTCCTGCATTGTCAAATTATCTGTATTTCGCATCTGTGAAGAAAGGATTATCGTTATCGTTCTTGCCTGTTAATTCCGGGTACATATCTTCTGTTCTAACTTACGTACAAATACAAAGYAATTTACTATGGCAATAAAGATGATGATAGATGGAATGTGTGCGGTATTTGTTCATTTACATCCCTAAGGTCCAAAGTTGTACAATTGCATCTCCAACGCTCTTGCGTGAAACAGCATTGTGTGAATGTTGCGGTGATATGAATACGTTTATTAATCATATGGGAGGTAGCTGCAAGTYGTGAAAAACTGGCTCTGCTATTCCAAATTGCCTTTTTTTCAACTATGTATCGAACGCTCRTGGTTGTAAAACTTCTGTAGAAAAAACGCAAAATGCCAGCAATCGATATATAGCATACCGAAATAGCATACTAGTTATAGTCTGAGTCAGTGATGTCGCTGTTGGGAAGCTTTCAGTGTCATATCTTAGATTCCTTTTATGTACGTCTTCAAAATTTGTCCAAGATATCCRCATGCATCAAAGATCGGGTTTATGAAAAAATAGACGCAAATGACTGTTTATCAAGGTATACTTTTATTGTCGCACAACTAACAAAGTAATACGTTTACACAGGATATATAATTTATTTGCCAAATTTGCAAGTAAGCAAGCAAGCACTGGAAGCAAACAAGCTTTGTTACAAAGGTCTGTATTACCAAACATATTTAATACTATAGATAACGAATGCTTCTACAATAGATCGCGTCTTTCTACATTCTACTTATTTTYATTTCAGTGGCATCCCTTTAGAGCGTCTGGGTGATTCACTGTCCACCCGGAAAGCAACAAATGCCGAGAGTTACAGAACAACTACTGGTATAGCGATAGCTCGAACGCGGGCAAAGAGATTTCGCAAACCAGTAGTCCCCAGTCTTGTCCTTATTGACTGAAGTACAATGACATGACATGGCTCGGGGATTCAAAGACACTTCTATTAAAAAGAATTAAAGAAAATGTGAGCATTACAGGTCTTTTCYATAAAATGAAAATAGTTTGAAAACATTAACCAATGAGATAATAGATCTTTCCCGAATTCACTTGAATGAACACAGAAATATAAAATCAATCAGGCGACTTGCACTAAGAGGTCACGTGATCAAATCGGCCATTGTGGCTGGCATCCTACAGGATTTTAGCTATGCGAGAATGTAAAAAGATGGCGGATACGGGTGATTTGTTTGGTAATAAAAAGTAAGTTAGCGCACTAAATAACGATAAAAATCCCCTTTTCTTGCAAGAAATAATTCGTAGTAGATATCTAAAGTAGATTTTTACCATTAACTCGCCAAGAAGAGAAAAAATATGGTATTTTTTGCGCTACGATGTGAAGACCTAAAGCTAAAATCCTGTAGAATGCCAGCCACAATGGCCGATTTGATCACGTGACCTCTTAGTGCAAGTCGCCTATTGCAAGGCGARGCTGGTGTAAACAATTCAGTAAATGTTTGGATTTGAAAACTCCAATATCTACCCAAATCTTTTGTTTTGCGGTTTAGTGTTCAAGCGAATTCAGGAAGAGGTATATTCACATATACTGCGTAACATATTCAATACCTGCAGCTTTGTCCGCAAAGACAAAAGTAACACAAAGTACCAACACAKTCAGGAAGATAGTTTTCTCCATTTTTGCTTTTCCGAGTTTAATGTTATCTGTTGATGGAAAAATATTAACTCAACCTTTTATCTGTTCGGTTCGAAAAAAATACAACTTTATAGCCGGTACTCTTTTAGCGACCCTTATACGGGCGTGAAGAATTATGGYTTTTTATGAGTATTATAATTCTGGATTCTAGACCTGCATTTTCTACCTTTGTAGACGACATTTGGGAGAAGCTTTGCTCGTCCTCTTCAGGTCCAGTTGCGTCGATGATGGAATGCGGTTTTTAGTATTCGAAACACAGCGTTCCATCATGAAGAGGAAGAGCAAAGCTACGATCGTCGAAACAACGTCTACAATTAAGCTAAATTCCCAAGAAAACAGAAGTTCAAAACTTAGAAAATTTCAAAAAAACCCCAGCAGRTTTGTTTTAAAAAATGAAGTTAATTAATTCTAAATTTTCTTGTTCACGAACAAGAAATAGTAAAATACCTCCTCACCTGATTCTTGGAATCTTCTTAATCCGGTACAAGGTAGTTGAAGGCGTTGAGATGGGAAGTTAGTGTCAAAACATGACTTGGCTAGTGTATTTGTATTGATGGGACTCAACCCCAACTCTAAAAATAAGTCAACAAAACAACTAGTACTCATGGGCCACGTTCGAAATATTAAAATTCAAGCACGATACCGAGGCTCCCAGGAATAAATATTCAAAATTGCATTCAAATTCAAATTGACCAGTAAATATAGTGCTGTAGATTCGATTTTAATGTTGTTAACATTTCTCACAAACTTTCCCTATTATTGCCCAAAGGTAGGAACGCTATATATAGCATAATATCTTATTCTTACCATATAAATGTATTTGGTGAACCACTTGTTTGTATCCATATGAAGTAATGAAGCTTCGATATCTTCGATATCAAGTCAGAATGYTCAGATATCGAAGGTGGATTATTATTCCACATGGGAGGAATACTGATGGGTTGGTGTCTAGAACCTTGCGACACAATTGATATTTTTTGTCGTAGGAGAATTGTCGTTGAATTTTCTCGAGTTGTTTTCGCACGAGTGGTAAACACAGTACACTGACTACAGCACGTACATGGTACAACAGTACAACTTTACAAAATTCTATAAGTTTTTACTATTATATTTACGATTACTAAAACCTACTAATGCTCTATCACTACAAATATTAGCTAATATTTAGTCGTGATTGTCTGAGCTACTAATGGCCTATTAGTGATAGACCTTTAAGGTAGTACGTATTAGCGGCGTAATGACTGACTAGCCTGTCTGGCAAATAGTATGCCACTTTTGTTTTTATTTTTAACAACTAATGTAGCACGCCTTTACAGTTGGAATGAATTGCCACACAGATGATGAAATTGCTAGTATACAGTTAAAAATAACACGCTTTGGTTTAAGTAAAGAGCGAATTGCATTTACACATAGATAAATTCATTAAATCGGTTTTTTTTCTGTAGTCGCGTCATTTGCAAGTAAAACGTCGTCGTCCTGATTCCTATTGAAAACTTTTGACGTTGCTCCTGGCAACATGCACATTTTCCAAACTTCTGTCGCTCCAAGCTTAACTCAGTGGGAAGCGTAGTAAGATGAGCTGAACAGTAAGACGTGACAAAACCCTATCAAGAAGCACTCGATCAGTTATCAAACGAAACTGAAAATATTCTATTCCTCGCTGTTCTCGTTGCAATAGACTTCTTCGGCTCTGACGTAATGATTTCCCATTTCAGACCACATGTCATTCCCTAGAGTATCATTTTTTGTTTAAGGTTTGCGCTCGGTTGCACATGAGAAGACACATGAATATGGATACAGCTCAAACAAAGAATCTTATCTCAAGGGAAGGACACGTGGTCTTAAATGGGAAAACATTACCCCAAAGCCGAAGAGGTCTATTCCTCCCACTTCTTTGCAGTATCCCAGCTATTTTATATCTTCAAAACTGGTAGGTAAATATGTATTTCTTAGTGTACAAACACTAAAAGTGTGCAACACTTTGCACTATTTAGTAGTAAATTAAGCAATAGAAAACAATAGCATAATTTAGCAGTATTTAGTGGTATCTATGTTATACACTCATAGTGTTTGTACTCTACTGTGAATCTATTTTAGTCTCTAAAATGTTGAAAAATCTCTGTCGAATGTTGTGTTGTGTTTCGTATCAGCGAAAACGAGTAACCAGGGATAATTCGGCGTAATACGTACCGATTATTTACGATTTATCAAGGAAGTTTGATAATTGGAAATTTGAAATTTGAAGATATATAGTATATCACTAAATAAAAAGGCGTATAAAAACCACAGGGAGCCCGGCTTTGGGATTTGTACATGAATAAATAAATCAATAAAGTGCTTTGGGTTTCATGTTTTGAGATTTGAAACAAGACGCTGATACGTTGAATTTACGGTAATCGTATTACCAGTAACTTGATATACTAACACTAATCTGCTATCAAGTTATCAAATCTCAACACAGGAAACCCAAAGTACTTTATTGACTTATTTATTTGATGTACAAATTCTRAAGCCGGGCTTCCTGTGTAAAACGTGTATCCACAGTTAACAATGTATGGGATTTGGTATTTGGTGCCCACTTTTTCGGTCTCACCTTCCAAGCATGCATCACGATTCCACGGGAAGTCCGGAATTCGTGAAGCTTGAATGAAGACTTGATACCTTGTTGTCAACGTTGTTGAAATCACGTGATATCAATGCCATATTTCATGGGATGTCATGACGACCGTACGTGYGTAAAGCAGCCTAAATTGGAGTCAACCCTCCACTTACTACTTTTGTGAAAAATAAACCATTGTAATGGCAATAAGAAAAAATAGTTTCAGTTAATTGAGTTTGTATAGTAAAATAACATTTATAATAATAAGTTATTCTAATCCTAGTTTATGATAACAAAAATTGGCTGCAGTGCTGAACTGCTAACACAGGAAGCCCAATTTAGATAAAAATGAAAGGTTAAAAAAAATTTTTTTTTTCAGTCAAGATAAAGTACTCCATTTTACGAAAGAGTAAAAAAAATCGATTAAAAAATGCACCAGAACACTTATTTTTTACGCGCGCCTTGGCAATAGTTATCGCGATATAATTCCCCTATGTCGTTGATACCACTCTTACAAGGAAGGAAAGTCCATTGTCAGATTGTGTTTGGGAAGATGGCGACTGGACTTTCCTTCCTCGTAGGAGTATCTATTTATGTTAAAGATTTTTAACAATTAATCGCCGAAGGTAAAGTGAATATCGGGGAGTAATAACCGAAACGAAGTTGATGTTATTATTCCCGATATTCACTGAGCCTGAACCTGTTTTAGTATAAATACACAGGTGATTCTTTCAAAAAAAGATAAAAAAGAAGATAAAAGACACATTTTTTCCCGGTAACAGCATCTAAGCCGCTGGCCGCCGTTTTGGATTATCGCTGGAGGTGATTATCGTGTGATAATATGAGTTTCTTGACCAATCAGCGCGCGAGATTTTCAATAATCACCTGTGTATTTATACTAAAGGGAAAACCAAGGCGCGCGCGAAAAAAAAAATGTACTAGTACTTACTACTACAGAGGATATCATCTTGACCTCGAATAAAAGAAAAATTATTCATTTTTTCCGATTTCATTTTCACCTTTCACTTTTATCGCGCACACATCGTGGGCTCAAATCGAACGTTCAGTGACGTCATTTAGGACGTCATCCATCTTTTTGCGTCAATTCGTTACCTGATTCGTTACAAACAAAAGACAAAAACAAAATTTTTTAAAATTCCTGATCTTCAACGCGTACGTTTGTGACACTCTGTACAGTTGAAATTTAAAAAGATTGTGGTTACATATTTCGGCCTGTTTTACTCTGCATTCTACCCTCCCCACCCACGCATTTTTCACATGAATCAGCGAGGGGCCTGGTCCTAGAGGTTCTCAGTCAAAAACATGGCTGCCGAGAGGGAAGTAGAAATCCGCTCGATATTTTGTCGTCTTGATTTTCCCACCCTCTTAAACTGCAAAGAGGTTGTGTGTGTCTYATAGCATGAGGGAGGCATTCAAGAATGAGAAAAGCACTACCTCAAGGAGATACTTACGCGAAAAGCCGAGAAAAACAAGTCAAATCGTCTGTGTCCCGTATATACAGGTGATGAGTCAACATGGAGTCTTTTTACATGCCTTGCTTTCTATACTCAAAAAATGCTGCATCAAATACCAAAAATATTAATAAATAAACCTAAATGACTTTACAAATACCGAACATTTTGAATGACAGTCGAATTAGCGCTTTTACAAGTAGTTTGACGTATGTATTTATGAGTTTCTAGTCGATTTTGTGATAGTGAAACTAGATCTAGATGCGTCATAAGATTTCTTGTTTTTAACGAAATCATTAAACATAACCTTGATATCCTGAAAATTATTACACATTCCTCTATAAATTTATACTTCTTTTCGTCTAGACAACCAAAAATACGACTCCTCCGGAAAGTATCTTTTTCTCCAATATTAATTTTTCGAAATATGTTCACAAAATTTAAATTTAAATTTGAYGAAATTTATCACACGTAAAATCATTTAGAAATCACAAATTTTACGATGCATTTTTTGTGATCAATTAGACTATCTGGTAAATATTTAGGTATAAAATGGTTAGTGTATTCATGTAGTTCTAAAAGAGATGGACTAATATTTTTATTGTGTGTTATTTCAACAGATCTTCAGTACAGTTGGCACAGAGACTTGACATATTATGCAAATCGGCTACAGATTGGAATGAGTTATTCCAGGCCGAAACATTAGGAATCAGACAAAAGTATTTATTATTATATTTACCGACTATTATTTTATTCGCTGAAGGCAAAGTGATTATGGGTGAATATTTACTGAACTTCTCAGTAAGGTAAATATTCACTGTAATCACTGAGCCTGAGGAAATAAATTGTTTAGTATGATCTTAGACTTGAATATCAGAGAAAAGACAAAATGCAGGCTAAGAAAATGTTTTGGCATTACTTTTGTTTCAGAAAATTTAAGAAAACCTTATGATCTTCCCTTGCGCATTGATTGAATCGTCTCAGAATCACTTGTCTCTCCACCAATCACAGTGCATGAAACTCAATATTCAAGACTAAAATTGACTAAATTTTATTATCATCATCATCATTATATAAAAATGCTTGTTCACTTCATAATATATACTCACGATTTCCTTCAGAATTTCAAATGTGTCTTTTCTTGGGGTACAACCACATGACACAAAATAACAATGAAACAGCAATCATATTGGTTGATCTAACAAGAGAATCTAATGAGGAATGCTTTGATATTGTCAATAGGCATTATTTATAGGCGTYCTGGGGAAAAAACACTGGTCATACTAATGGGTGGTTTGAAAAAGTAATTTATTTCTTGCTATTTTCTCATCCATACCCCTATGATCAATAATCAACAGTCCCTTATCACATAGCTTACAATCCCCCAACTTTGTTTTCAAAATTTGTTTATAATTCCAATAACCATTCTAAATAGGCTAGCCATACCTCATTCTACTTTCAATCATATTTGGTTTAAAAGAGGACTTTTATCATATAACATGTAGGGAACATTTACATGTATCCAATAAAATGACAAAATCTTGTTAGTTATGATAAATCTTTTGTTCAAACAGATTAAGAAGCAATTGTGAGCATTTAATGTTTAACGATCAAAAAGARTATGGGAGAAAAGCAGAAGATTTACTATGGAGAAAAGTGTACTATGATGTCATTCAATGGCTAAGGCAGCGCAGAAAGGTACTGTATGACATGAAGCAGTTTTTGTATGAACAGTTTTCATATGAAGAATACCAAGTGTATGAGGTGTTTGGTCACAATTAGATTTTCTTTTTGATGGATCGTATCGTGAAGTAATTGCTCACAATGTACTCAAAAATGACATACAAATGTATTTTATTCCTGTCTCTTTGTTGCTGTTTACTAAGTTTTATCATTGTTTCTGGTTGTTAATTCGCAGTGGTTGAGACATACTTTAACAGGGTAGCATACCGACTCTGACTGGTAGTGAACGGACTAATAGTGAAAGTACAYGGTAACTTACGGACCGGTTACCTAATTAAGATATGAAATATATACACAGTACCCTTACGGCATTAAGCTTTTCACAGTCATGCAAAACATGCTCTACTATATAACAGACTACTAGAAACTGATATTAGCACAAAGTATGGTGGGAAGTTCAATGTAATATCAACAAAAAACCTCACTCGATCCTACCATAGCTGTAACTGTAAAGGGTCCACAGTAATTGGCTATCTGCTGTTGTGGTTCCTAGTCCATCTCACTGACTTGTGACAGTGAAGCAAATAAAATAAAATAAACCATGTGCTGTGACAATGAGAAGCTATTTCAGTGTTACAGCATTACATACTGTATAAATGTACTGTACATGCTGTTAGTACCAAATGTTTCCCGCTTGAATGAAAACAGCTCTTTTTTACRCTTTCAAATATAAAATGTTAGTACTCTAGAGTGCTCACACTAAACCTGTGAAACAAATACTAATTTTTAGTACTAAATAGTGATAATCAAACAAAGAAAACAAAGGATTCTGTACTGAGTGCAAACAATAAATCCGTGAAACACTAATTACTAATTTATAGTACAAAATAGTGCTAATTAAACAATAGAAAACAATGGAATTTGCATGAAATTGTGCTATTTCGTATTACTAAAGTGTCACGGATTTACTGTGGTCACTATGAATTACTACTAATTAGTACAAAATATTATTCACGGGTTTAGTGTGTGCATGCACTCTTCTTCATATTAGAATAATAAATTGTAAAATTAGAATGAATCTTTTGTCTCATTTAGTTAAACCTTTGTTGTAGGGTTCTGATGGTGACATTGAAATTGAAAGTGCATATCGTACCCATCTATTGTCTGCCTCAGGGTTTTACTTTCGTTTATTGCTGAAGTTGCAACAACATTATGACATTAAACTTGAGGGCATAGTATCTTGGACAGCATTGGAAACAGAAGGTATACTGATTAATTAATAGAGCGTTTTCATGTGATGTCACAGCGGCCATTATGGGGTACCAAAACAATACATTTTCTATCSTCCGGGAATTGAACTCCATTTTTATGCAAATACTGTGCAGAAAGTTTCTATTGTTTATGGCTGCCTTCTCAYGTGGGTGAAAACGCTCTATATGTGCATACAGTTATAATTCAAAAAGGTTGGTGAAGGTTTTGTTGCGTACTGCAAATTGCTTGTTGCATGCCCGGGGGGGTACTCTTGCCCGTTTAGGGTAGAGATGTGCCGCTTAGCCCTCTGATACCTGATCCTGTTCCAGAGTAAAAATCGCTGAAATTCATACCCT